TCAAAGAGTTAAACACAGAATTACAATATGGCCAAGCAATTCCAATCCAAGGAACATCACTCCAAGGAACATACCCAAGAGACTTGAAAGCAGGGACTCACTCAATCAGACATGTGTACACCAATGTTCACTGCAGCACTATTCACAAGAGCCCAAAGGTGGTGATACCCCAAGTGTCCATCAGCAGGTGATGGATAAACAAAATGTGGCCCATCCACATAGTGGAATATTACTCAACAATAAAGAAAAATTAAGTTCAGCCAACAAGGATGAACCCTGAAAACATGATTCTGCATGAAATGAATCAGACACATAAGGATACATGTTATATGATCATAATTATATGAAATATTTAGAACAGATAAATGCATAGAGATAGACAAAGGTTAGTGGTTGACAGGGGCTGGGAAGAGGAAGGATGGTGAGCAACTGTGTAATGGGTACAGGGTCTGCTTTTGAGTGGTGAAAATGTTCTGGAACTAGGTAGAAATGGTGGTTAAACAACTACGACTGTATTAACTGGCAGAGAATTGTATGTTTTAAAATGGTCGATTTCATAAGATGTAAATTTTGCCTCAAAAAAAGGATGGGGGAGGAGCCATGCTTCACTGACCTAAAGGAACCCCCAAAGGCAGGACTTCAGGCCCATGGGGGGTCCATGTCCCTCAAAATATCCCTGACAGGGCTCTAAGAGCAGCTCCAGGGGTGGCTAAAGGTCTCCAAACACCCACAGATGTCCTCCAGATGTGTCGCCTTCTGTCCTCATGTCCCTCCAGGCTGGGACTGAGCAGCAGACATAAATGCATGCTCTTCCCATCACCTGAGCACCTGCTGCCTGCATTTCAGCAAAGCACACCTCATTCCCCCAATGTACACACACGGGTGCATGCGCACACACACACACACACACACACACACACACAGGTACTGCCCATTCCCCCTGAGTGCAGGCCTTTGGTCATAAAGGCTGGGCTCTGCCACGCTGGACCAAACCCCTACCCTTTCATGGACAAGTCAAGGATGGTGGTTTAAGACAGCTAGGGAGCACCATGGATTCTTCCACAGGCTTCATCCAACAAGGGGAAAGTCACAGCACACAGAGTGACCACAGACAACTGCCTGGAGCTGGCCCTCCTCTGGCCCAGTGCCAGGACAAACTGGGGCCATAGTGAGGGGGGCTGTCAGGTTTTCTGGACAAAGGGGGAGCAAAAGAGTGCCTCCCTCACCCACACCTCAGAGTCCTGCCTGTCTATTCTTCTCCCAACATCCACCCAGAGCACAAGGGAAGGCCACTCTCTCCCATCTCTGTGGCTGCTCTGGTCTCCTGTGCTCTGCCTGAGCCACCACTCCTCTCTCCCTCCCTTCCTGCCCCACTGGGATGTCAGAGGCTCCTAGCCCATGTTTTAAACTCTCCCTGTAGATGGAAACCAACCACATGACAGGAACCATGAATCAAAACCATGCATTTTTATGGTACAACATGACTTCTAGTTCAAATTTCATCAACTCAAATAAAACATTTTCTCCTTCCCATGGCAACTCAGCATCTGCTTGTCTGATCTCCAAATGCTGTAATGGAGGGAAGGGAAAAGTTGGGGACCCTTGGGGAGTAGCTGTGGACCCCAGCACTTGGTGCACCCCTTGCTTTAGTAGTCCCTGGGTCTAGGAGGTACAATGGTTTGCACTCTACTACTAACCCTTAGGAGCTCTGGTCGCATAGTGGCTAAGGCACTTGACTGCTAACCAGAAGGCTGGCAGTTCAAACCCACCAGTCACTCCTCGGAAGGAAGATGGGGCAATCTACTTTCGTAGTGATACTGCCTCGGAAACCCAAGGAGGGGTCGCTATGAGTCAGGTCCGACTCAACGGCACATAACAACAACAACAACTAACCTAAGGGTTGGTGATTTGAACCCACCCAGCTGCTCTGTGGAAGAAAGGCCTCATCATCCACTTCTCGGAAGGTCGCAGCCAAGAAAACCCTATAGAGCAGTTCTACTCTGTAACACATGGGGCTGCCATGAGTCAGGATCAACTCCATGGCAAGAGATGTTGTTTTGTTTGGTTTCTTGGTTTGGGTGTTACAAACAATTAACATGCTCAGCTGCAAACCAGAAGGTTACGACTTACATAAAAAACCCTATGGAGCAGTTCTACTCTGACACACGTGGGGGTGCCATGAGGCAGGGTTGAATTGACAGCAACCGACTTGTTTTTTGGCTTTACTTTGTATTGCAGTGGTTGGCTAAAGGGCCTGCCTCGCAGAGAACCCCAAGCTCTTTGGGTCCTCATCCCAACACCCATCGTGAGGTAGGGAAACTGAGGCACAAGGGCCAGGGCCTGTGCACGAGAGTCCCACGGGAGTGGGACCACTTGAGACCTCAGGTCTCATTCTGCCCCAGACTGGGAGAAAGTGGCATTGAGGTACAGGGACAGGTCAGCTCAAGACCTGGGTCCTTGTCCAGGGCTCTGTCTCCCTTGCCACCACTTCTCCCCACACATTAGAGAACATGCACCCCAGGTACCCACAGAAGCATCCATGGGTCTGCTGCCTCCTCCTCAAGCCCCAGCTGCCGACATGCTGGCCCGCCAACTTGGCCAGATCTCCCTCTCATGCTGCCTCCAGTTTGGGAGTGTCACCTACACACACATATACTCCACCCCTTGGTCAGGATGGTGAGCATAAAGCCCCGCCCTCAAAGCTTTCCTCATAGTCACCCTTTTGTCCTCACTGCATCCTCCAATACAGTTGCTAAGCACCCATCAGTGACCAGGTTACTGGGCCCTGGGAAGGCAGAGGTTACAGATCACCCCAGAAATGCACACTGAAACACCACTTCTGCCCCCTCCACCTTCCAGATGGGATGAAGCTGATTTATGGGCTATCTCTCTGCTGCCCTCCACTTGTTTACAATATTTTCCTTGAGTTGTTTCTTCAGTCCCTTGAAAGGTCAAACATCCCCCAACCACAACTCCAAACTCAGGTCCGAGCAGCAGGACCCAAGTGCTGAGTTGTCTACAGTGTGCATATGTGTACATGTGTGTGCTTGTGTATACATTTGTTGTGTGTGCATGTATTTGTTTATTTGTGTGTATGTGTGATTTAGTATATTTGTGTGCCTGTTACATATGCACATGTTTGATCACAAGTATGCATATGTTTGCATTTAGGTATATGTGTGTGTGCTTTTGTGCTTGTATTACATATATGCATGTGTTTCTATGCATGTGTGTATATATGGATATGCATGAATGTGCTTTTGTGTGCCTGTATTACATATATGTTTGTGTGCATGTGTATGTGTGTATATGCTGCCAGGGGGGGTCTCCTGGACCCCCCTCTGTTGAGCATGTGTCCTCCTTGCTCTGTGTTGCAGGGAAGGACAGGATGACAGACCCAGAGGCCAACCCAGCCCAGGAGGACACCTGATACCTGAGGGGTGAATTGAGTCCTCCAAAAAGATGTGTTCAAGTCCTAAGTGCCAGTTCCCATTAACATAACCCTGCTTGGCAAAAGGGTCTTTGCAGATGTCATCAGTTAGCATGAGGTCATACCTGAGTAGGGTGGGCCCTAGTGAATTATGACTTGCGTCCTTATAAAAGAAGAGAAGCAACAGAGATGACCATGTGAAGACAGAGCAGAAACTGGAGGGATGTAGCCATAAGCCAAGGAAACCTGGGGCCCCCAGAAGTTGGAAGAGGCAAAGAAGGACCCTCTCCTAGAACCTCCAGAAGGCACATAGCCCTGCTGACACCCTAAATTCAGACTTCTGGCCTCCAGATCTGGGAGAAAGTCTTTAGGCCCCCACCCCCACCACCCAGTGTGTGGCTCTCTGCTACAACAGCCTTAGGAAAACTACAGCTTCTAGCACCTTCCCATGTAAGCACTGCCACCCCTGACCAGTGGAGAACAAACCTGGCTTTCAGGTCACCAGGGCCCCAGCTTGAGAAGCAAGAGGGATCAATGCTTCAGGTGTGTGTTATATGTGTGTTGGGGGGGTCACTCT